GCCCCCTGCCCCATCCCTCCTGGACCTTCCCCCCCTCCCTTCCCCAGGTCTCCTGACCTTCCCCGACGGCTCCCATGGAGTGCCCCGCAACGAGGGCTTCTTCGAGAACAACAAGCTGCTGCGGCGGGAGAAGTGCCCAGCTGTTATCCAGAGAGCCCAGAGTGCCTCCAAGTCTGCCCACAACCTGACAGCATGACGGTGCCCCACATCCCCTCCCACCATGGTGGGGACCCCCCCACCAGGCATTCGCTGGCCCCACCATGCCCAGAGCAGGGATGCAGTGCTGCTCTGTGGCCCCCCTGCCCTCCGCTCGCCGGCTGCCCAGCCTTGGTGGGGTCCTACCCCCTGCTGACCTCCCCACCAATGGGGGGGACAGGGGCCCCTGTTCTCCACCCAAGTGCCCCAGCGTGGCCGTGGTGCCTTCTTTCTCTGGCTGTAGCCCTGGCACCCAGCAGAGCAGCCGGGGCCCAGGCCCTCTACTCCCCCAGGAAGGCTGCGGGCCACCGGGGCCGCCAGCCCACCACAGGGGATAGAGTGGGGGTGTACGAGCTGGGGCTGGGCCCAAAAAAAAGGTTTGCCTGGGCTGGGCGCTGCTGGCTGGACCATGCCCCCACAGAGGGGCAGCTCCTGGCCTGCCTTGCTACCCTGGTCCCGAGGCAGGGTGGGTACCCCAGGCAGCTGTGGCCTGTGCTCTCAGCTCTGGGTGACCAGCCATCCCCCTGTGTGCCCTGGACAGGGTGACACTGTGCCTCCAAAGGACCTAGCCTGCCCTCAGGGCCAGCCAATGGGCTGTGTCCCCCTCATCCCTGTGCCAATCCAGCCTGCCCACTGCCTTGGGGACATCTGCAGCAGCATCCCCACCAAGGGGCACCAGGGGATGCCCAGCCTGCCCTGTGTCTGCTGCGTGCTGGGGAGGGCAGGAGTGATGGTGAGCAAGGAGCAGGGTCAGTCGGAGCACAGGGCACCCCAGGGCACGAGCAGGGCTGTGTGGGGTGCCAGGGCTGGAGAAGAAGGCCTGGGCAGGGTGGGCAGGGATATGGGCACGGCGAGGGGGCAGGCAGGGTGGGCAGGATGTCTTGTGCCCCTGCACGCCTCCCTCATCTGTCCCCCATGTGTGCCCACCTTCACCCTCAATGTAGTCCGGCTGGCTGTGGCGCTGGGGTCCCGGCAGCCCTCGCAGCCCGGCGGGCTGCAGGGGCTGTGCCCGCCCTGCCGGTCTCTGCCCCCTCCGGTCCTGTGCCTTGCCATGACCCTGCCTTGTGCTGCTGCCTGCACGGGCCTCAGCCGAGTAAAGCACGTTGCCAAACGCCCGGGCCGTGTGCTTTGTGTGGGGAGCAGGGACGGGGCGGGGGGCTGCTTGTGCGGGCAGGACTGCAAACACAGAGGCAGAGCAGCAGGTTTATTCCCGGCTCACGTCATGGGGATCCATCCTTTCTCAGGTGGGGACGGTGGGACCCTGGGGGAATGCCCAGGCCAGGGGACGCAAACGTGGCCAGGGGTGCTGGGTGTCCCCTCCACCCGCTCTGCCCAGGGCAGCCCTGTCCAGCAGGAAGGAGCGAGATGGGTCACTTTCTCCTGGCCATGTCCCAGTGTCCCCACCACACCCCCAGCTCCCATGGTCCCTGGCTCCCGTGCCTTCCCAGTGCAGGAAGGGGCGAGTGGGGACCACTCACAACCAT